GCTCTTCAGTAATGATTTGTTTAAGTTTGCAATGTAAGAAAAAACTCCACTATTAAGTAGAAAATATWATTTTTTAACATTTACTGGTTTCGTGCCATGAAAAACCGATGATCCAAGGTCCAAATTTCAATGATGTATTTTTCAATGAAGCTCGTAAAAATCGAATATAAATAAAAGTGTACAACATTTATTAAAACTGARCTAAAATCAAACTTACTTTCTCTAGGAACTTGTCTTCCATCTCAATATTTCTCGGTATGAAAGTCGAAGCTGTAGTTTCATCATCACTTGGGGGAACATTGAGAGTTAATTTAGAAGAGTTTGTTGTCCAGGCTTCTTGCACCGTAATAACTTCTTTAGAGCAGAACCTTTGCATTTCGAGTTTGAGATCTACTTTGCAGCGAAAATTACAGTTAAAAGATTCCACCGAATGTACTGAAAATATTTCAAGATTTCCCTCTGGATCAAAGAAAATAAAATGTGATGGTTCAAGGTTTCTTTAGGAGAGGAGCTTGTTTGGTCGTGGAACTCCCTGTGCGAGCTCTTTATAATGAAAATATACCAACCCATGTTAGTTTATAAACATTATTAATGATCGTGTTGATGTGCCGTGTATTGCAAGTTATGTAATCATCGCCAACACCTCGACTTATTTCGATTAATTACTTCTAAACAATATATATTAGAAGCAATCACTTGCGAATGATGTTTTAAGATTCGTCGCCCTGTTTGATAATATAAGGTGTGTATGAGATGGGAATTATAAGCAATTTGAACTATTAATGTTGGAGAATATTTTATATTTTTTTTTCACTCTTTTTGTGGATGGTTCAAATATGTAATGGAAGGTAAAATCAGGCCGAATTGTTTTTCCTAAAAAGTTATAAAATACGAACTACTAAATAATTCGCCTTTAAAAAAATAATATAAAATTTGTAGTAACGAGTTTACTCCAATTGTCTTGACGTTTCGAAGCCATCAGACATCATTATCAAGAGAGTGAAGACATCAATTAATATCTTCATTCTTGAGCCATATATGCCTGATGGCGTCGAAGCGTGGACTAGAAATTGGAGTAAACTTGTTGCCACAAATTTTATAATCAAAAGTTGTAAAATGTCAAAAATACTTCAGAATCTGATCTTTTGAGTCAAAAGTATGTCTGGGAAAGATAATTGTTGGCTTTCACGAGACGTCATCAAAAATAAATAAAATAAGATTTTAAAAAATTCCTCCACGAAACTTTTCCTTGAATTCTCTACTTTCCCGATCACATCCCGATAATGCTTTGCGTCTTTGGGGGGTAACCA